TTCAATAGACCTCCCAAGTCCCTGCTCATGTCCCCAACTCTGGGCTGGCTGAGTGCGGAGACTCAGACGTGAGTCAGACATGGCCCTGCTGTCAGGGCACACGCAGTGATGGGTCAAGAAGAGAATTCAGGTACATGATGCAGACTGATGAGGGCTGTGATGGACCTGAGGGTTGCTAGAGCCCACAGGAAGCCCCTCTCCCAATCTGGGGTAGGCAGGGCACCTGGAGCATCAGGACGCTTTTGGCTGTAATTAACAGAAAACACAACTCTGAACCGGCCCAAAGTCGAGGGGGATGCATTGGCCCCTGTAGCTGCAAAAGTCTGGTGATAGTGTGGAGATCAGGTATGGCTCGATCAGGGGTTGGCTATTCCCTTCATTCTCTGTGGGCTGCTGGGTCTGCAGAGGGGCGGCAAGTTGGCTGCAGTCCCCCGGGTCTCATCTGCATACCCAGCTGCATGGAGAGACTCCCACAGTGGTTCTCTATTGAGAAACAGGATCTTCTGTCTCAGAAGCACCTGGGATACTCAGGGGCCTGAAGGAACAGATTCCTGTGGTCAGGGAGATTGCCTTGTACTGATTAGCTCTGACTTGGGTTCCTGAATTAACCTTTGAAAAGGGAGATACGATTACTCTTAGCCTAATTGGGCAGGCCCTGGGAGGTGGGACAGCCCCACCTCTTGCAGCTGGAGGGTGTGCAGGTGAGAGTTGTGCACCTGAATGATCACCTGGGTGCCCTTGCACAGGGCAGCGGAGATGCTTGGTGTTCCCTAAAGGCTGCGTGAGGAGCTCTGAGTGTTGACCCACAGGAGAGGGGGTGGCCCCAGCAGCCCTTTAGAGACCCCCTTGCTCTGTCAGGGTGCTAAAGTCTCCTGGGTTTGTGGGCAGGCTTCTGACAAGGTCTTGATGCAGGTCACAGCTTGTTTGGACTTTGCTGCTGCCACTTTTGGGGGTCTCATGTGTCTGCCTGAACAGATGGCCTTGCACATGCCGTCTTGCCAATGTTGGGGACGCAGTAGTGGTTGTGATGAAGACTGGGTAGTGAGGGTCTGTATTAACCAATTTGTGCATACCTGAGACAAAAGAGTGGAAGTTACTTTTTATGGGATCCCACTGGGGGACCCTGGAATCCCAGCTCAGTAGTGGCCCCCATTCAGCCATGAGCAAGAGCTCCTGCCCCCATCATCCCCGGACTTTCCCAGGAGTCACTGGCCAGTGTCTGCCTCAGGTATGACTCTGTGCAAGCTTCTTTGTCTCTGGGTCTTGGAAGCTTAGGCCTGGGTGGCATCAGACCCATCGCTTCCTCCTCCCAAGAGCCCTTGATCAGAACCCCCAGTTCCAAAACGAGAGCCTGCATTGTGCACATACCACAGCGAGCTCTTCCTCTGTATGCCCTGCACATTGGACGTGCCGCTCAAATTAAATTTGGTGCTAATTTGCCCGAGGTAAGTAGGTGTTAATTTGTAGCTATGGCATTAAGATAATTGCTGTGAGGGTCTATTTGTGTCATGTGCAAATATATTTTTACAGCAACAAACCATTTTGCTGTGAATTATAAATAGAACAGTTGGGTGATTTGAAATCTCCTTTGCATAACATCCACTCTGCCAGCACGCCTGTTCGGGTCCACGTCTCTAATGAAGGGCTGCAGCCAGCCTAGCCCCACAGATGCTGATGGTTCCTATGTGCCCTTGTCCCCCACCCTGGGGAGGCTCCAAGAGAAAGGGCTTGGCAGGGAGGGTCGGGAGGGAGTTGAGGTGTGTGCAGACTCACATGCAGGGCGAGGCAGGCTTTGGGGGATGGAGCTTCTGCTCTGAAGCCCACTGGGCAGGAGAAAGGGCCCACTTGTAATGTCTGGTTTATTTTCACTTTATTTTGATGATTACGAAGGACCTGCATGTGCCAGGCTCTGTACTAGGTACCATGTTTACTGTTTGAGCAAGTCCAGGCATGGGCTTAGTCCTCATGAAACTTTGATCTGCAAAGAGAGGCCCATGTTAACATTAGCAAACGGATCATGGAAATAAGTGCGGTCAGCCTTCCATATCGGTGGCCTCTGTATCCGTGGGCTCCACATCTGTGGCCTCTGTAACCGTGGACTCTGTATCCATGGACTCCGTATTATGGTTTCCTCATCTGTGGATTCAACCAACTACGGATTTAATGTATTGGGAAAAGAAAATAAATGGTTGTGTCTGTACTGAATTTATACAGACTTTTCTCCTTATTCCCTAAACAACACAATGTAAGAACTATTTACAGGCATTTACATTGTGTTAAGTATTACAGGTAATCTAGAGGTGATTCACAGCATACAGGAGGATGTGCATACATTATATGCAAATACTACACCATATTACAGCAGGGGCTTGAGCATCTGCGGATTTTTGTATCTGCCAGGAGTCCTGGAATGAATTCCCCAAGGGACATCTGTAAACTTGCACCTGGTTGAGAGCTATGAGTAATGGATACAGGGAGCTAAGAGTATATGGAGAGGGGCCTGCCATGCTCCTGTTTGAAAAGAGAGAATATATTAGTTAATTTTTACGCTACTGATAGACATACCCGAGACTGGGTAATTGATAAAGGAAAGAGGTTTAATTCACTTACAGTTCCATGTGGCTGGGGAGGCTTCACAATCCTGGTGGAAGTGAAGGAAGAACAAAGGGACGTCTTACATGGCAGCTGGCAAAGAAAATGAGAACCAAGCAAAAGGGGGTTCCCCTTATAAAACCATCAGGTCTCGTGATACTTATTCACTACCATGAGAACAGTGTGGGGGAACCCGCCCTCATAATTCAGTTACCTCCCACCAGGTCCCTCCCATAACACATGGGAATTATGGGAGCTGCAATTCAAGATGAGATTTGGGTGGGGACACAGCCAAACCATATCAGAGAATTGACTTAACAGAGGTCAGAAGGACAGATAGGAGCTGACCTGCAGGTGGGGGCTGTGGTGTGATGAATCTTAGCTGAGCACAGTGGTTCACGCCTGTGATCCCAGTGACCTGGAAGGCTGAGGTGGGAGGATCACTTGAGGCCAGGAGTTTGAGACCAGTTTGGGCAATATGGTGAGACCCAGTCTGCACAAAATAGGGGACAAAGCCAGGTATGGTGCTGTGCACCTGTAGTCTCAGCTACTCGGAGGCTGAGGTGGGAGGATCGCTTGAGCCTGGGAGTTCAAGGCTGTAATGAACTATGATCATACCACTGCACTCCAACCTGGGCAACAGCATGAGACCCCATCTCTAAAACAAAAAAATCTTCATTAGGTCTTTGTCCCTGGTTCCTGGCAGAGCTCCTAAAACCCTTGGAAGAGCATCTTTTGTTTTTCACTATGAGTTCTCTTTTTTTTTTTTGAGATGGAGTCTCACTCTGTCACCCAAGCTGCAGTGCAGTGGCACGATCTCGGCTCACTGCAGCCTCCACCTCCCGGGTTCAAGCAATTCGTCTGCCTCAGCCTCCTGAGTAGCTGGGATTACAGGTGCCCACCACCCCGCCTGGCTAATTTTTGTATTTTTGTTAGAGACGGGGTCTCACCATGGTGGCCAGGTTGGTCTCAACCTCCTGACCTCAGGTGATCCACCTGCCTCAGCCTCCCAAAGTGCTGGGATTACAGGAATGAGCCGCTGTGCGCAGCGATTACAAGCTCTCTTGACCATACTTGGGTTTGTACTGTAAATAGCTTCAGGATGGGGGCTGTCCCAGAGGAATCAGCCATGTGTTTGAAGGTTGGAGCTATCAGTCCCTCACAACCTTTGGGGAGGGGAGAGAGACTGGAGTGTGAGTGGATCACCAATGGCCAGTGATGTATCCAGTCACGTCTACGTAACAAAACTTGGGTCAAAATTGTGAAAAACAAGGCTAAGAGCCTGTTTTCATGCTGGTTGGGAAGGTGGGGAGAAAAACGACTTTCCTTTATTCAGTGCCAGCTCATTCAATGAGCTAGGTGCTCAGAGCAAACTTACAGCAACAGATAATCTTCAGGCCGGGTGCAGTGGCTCACGCCTGTAATTCCAGCATTTTGGGAGGCTAAGGCGGGTGGATCACTTGAGGCCAGGAGTTCGAGACCAACCTGGCCAACGTGGTGAAACCCCATCTCTACTAAAAATAAAAAAATCAGCCAGGCGTAGTGGTGCATGCCCGTAATCACAGCTACTCAGGAGGCCGAGACACGAGAATCACTTGAACCCAGGAGGTAGAGGTTGCACCGAGATCACGCCACTGCCCTCCAGCCTGGGTGACAAAGTGAGAGACTGTCTTCAAAAAAAAAAAAAGATACTTTTCAGAAAAGAGTAAAACCATGGCTGTCATATAGATGTAAAAATGAACGCATTGATAATTTTATTTAGCTCATGAGAGAATCAGGCAGATATTAGTGACTGAAAAGGGAATCAGAAGGACGGGGCATTTGTAGACCAGGGAGTATTCAAATGCAAGTGCAAATGGAGGCAGATTTGGGGAGTTTTGGCAGGAGAAGGGAGGAAGGGAAAGAAGGCAATTGCGCTTCTACCAGACAAGACAGAATCTGGGTGTTTATGGGCGAGGATGATTTTCACGGCTGTAAGTTATCCATCAGCTCGCAGAGTGTAAAAGCAACTCCCAAAGAGTCAGAGTCGGAGAACCTGGAGGAGCATTCCCATGGTCTTCCTTGATGCAAGGCGTGTTCCGTTGAGGCCCCACATTTATCACTACATAGTAACAAGGATGCCCCTGCAGAACTGTAGCAAATGCTGGAAAAATGGGTTGGTGGCATGAGATCTAAGATAATAGTTCCAAGACAACCGATGAGGGAAGAGGGAAGAGGGGTCCCATGGCAAAGCACAGGCCTGAGAGTGGACCAGGCCACGTCCTGGTGCCACACAGAGCGGCTCCTCGAAAGGCAGAAAGAGTCTGCTGCGGTGGGTGGTTGGTTGCACGCGCGGACGGATTCTCTTCTACTCGCATTCCTCGTGGTGTTTGCCATTTCCTGTGTTGCTCGAGTCATCGGGTTCTCGGCTGGAGCCAAGAGACCTGGGCTGCAGACGTGGCCCTCTGCCAACTTGCTGTGTGCCTTTGGGCAAGCCCTCACCCTCTCTGGGCCTCTGTTTTCCTGCTTTTCATTGTCGATTGATGACACAGTATGCTCGCTGGGGTGGTCCTGGCGCCACTGTCTGGGATTCTGGCAGTTCACGGGAAAGAGAAACCTGAGTGTGTGGAAAAGGCCTGCGTGAATCAGGGTTCTCCATTCCAGGCCAACAGAATCAATAGCAGTTATGTGTGCACGTGTGTGTGTGCGTGTGTGTGTTTTCCACACACCCCTGCGAGAGGGAGCTGAGAGTGCTGTCAACTATAGGAACTGCGGGAGGGGAGAGGGGTTCCCAGGGCTCACCCCGGCACACTCCCCTCCTGGCTGTTGCTACAGAAGGCCCGGATTATGTGGCATTCACACTGAGTGAGCAAACTTCAAAACAAATCCTCCCGTTGGTGTTTTTTGAGATAGGGGAAGGGGTAAAAGGCTTTGTCCTTGGTTGGATGATGCAGAGGCTGGAGGGAAAAGCAAAGGCTTCGTGGCTTCAGAGGCGCTGGGCTCTGGGCAGGCTCCTCAGCCCTGTGACCTGTGAGTGGCGCTGGGGCCGCAGCTGGGGCCGCAGCTGGCCCGGGGCCTGCAGTGGAGTTTGCATGTAGCAGGGAGGCCTGTTCCCTGAGGACAGGGAAGAAGAGGCCCAGGGCCATTTTGTCTATTCCATCTGGTGTCACTGTCTCCTGCAAGGCTTTGAAGCAAAGATGCTGTAGCTGTGTCCCTGTGCCCTGGGAGGGGTGGGTACCTTAGAAGGTGCCCCTGCATTGCCAGGGAGGGGGACGTGTCCAGGTGGGACCTGGTGCCCCCAGAAGTTTGCTTCCCAGCTGTTTGCTTGGCTTGTAACAGGTTTGTCATAGAGGCTGTGTCGCTAGTGAGGGCCGGGTTTCCAGGCTAGCCCACAAGGGGGGTGTAATCGGGACCCTGGGGGCCTTGGGGAAGGGTGGGACAGAGCTGGAGGGGCCTGGAGCCTGGGCTGCAGTGAGGTCCAAGCTGTGGGAGTGGGGACAGGTCAGGTCTGTCCCCGGCTGGAACCTGCCCTCCTCCCATCATCAAGCATCGGGAGCCCCTCCTGCCTGTCGTGAGGTTTGAGTGACATGACAAGGTGGCAGGGAGTCCCCACGGGCCAAGGGCAGGAGCAGCTCTTGTCACCGCTGCATCTGGAAGCCAGGGTTTGTTGGGCGGCCGAGGCACACATGACCGGCATGCACCAAGTCCTCAGCTCGCCAGGCAGCCCTTCTTCCTGACCAGCTGCCTGCGGTTTGGCCGGAGCTGTGGGTGTAGATGATTGAGTTTCTTTTCTCACTTTCACAGCAGGCAAGGGGCAGCTCGCTGAAGGGTGTGAACACAGGGTCCCAGCCTGGGTCTCTCCTATGCCCCTCTCCAGTCCCTAGCAAGCTGCTCCCCGGCCTGGGGAGGACTGGGAAGAGGCACTGGGGCTCCGCCTGGAGATGGCAGACCCAGGGGCCTCGGCTGGGCACGCTGGGCCTCCCCTGCCTGGCACCCGGGGTCCTGCACCCTGCCAGGGAGTCCAACCTAATCCTGGGTCTGCACCTGGGCCCTGCCAGCTGGCTCCACCACCTCCACCCATCTGCCTCCTGCCCTCGGAAACCGTGGTGTGGTCTCTGGGATCAGGTGATTGTGGAAAAACACAGAGGACCAAAGCCCAGGGGAGGCTGTGGGGCGGGGCTGGCAGCAGGTCATGTCCCTGGTGTGAGAGGTTGTGCGTCCTTGGAGGGTGCTCTGGAATTAGTTGTCTGTACTGGAGTAGGAAGGAGAAAGGAGTGTCCACGAGGAACTTGCTGGAGTCGGACGGCCCAGAACTGCAGGTGTGGAGGAGTCAGAGCTTGTGTGGGCACATGTGTATCTATGCACACATGTGTGCATGTGTGTATGCATGTCTCTGTGTCTCTGCATGTTTGTGTATGCGTGTCTGCAGGTGTGTCTGCGTGTGGACATGCGTGTGTGCATGTATGCGCGTGTGTGTCTCTGCATGTCTGTGCATGTGTCTGCATGTGGGCATGCGTGTCTGTGTGCATGTATGCGCATGTGTGTCTGTGTGAGATGTGGGAAGTACGCATATGATGCCAAGACCTCGCCTGCCTGTCTTCCTGGCGACCCTCCCGGGGGCTCTCTCTAGGGGTCTTTGCCGCCCTTTCCTCCTTCCTCTCCCTGGTTTTGGGCTCCGGCATCCCTCAGGTGCTTGGCACCAAGTCAGTGAGTAGTGGGGCAGGGTTCTTGCTCCATCTGACAGCCCAGAGAGAGCAAAACTCCTGGCCAAGGCCCCATAGCAGTCTGGCAGCAGAGTACAGCCTGAGGAAGCAGATGACAGGGGCTTCGGGGAGGCTCTTGGGGACAGGGGTGGGACTGCCGCAGGAGGTGGAGGGAGGAGTCTGACTGAAACTGGATATCAAGTCTGGGAAAACGGCCACTGCTTGGCTCCAAAACCAAAAAGTCTGGGCTTACCTGTGTTAAGGTAAAAGAAAATGCAGAGGCAGGAGTTACAGGAGCCATCCTCAGGCTGGTTTGCTGTGTGACCTCGAACAAGTGCCTGCCCTTGAACAAATGTCTGTACCTCACCGGCCTCTGTTTGCTTCTCCGATAAGTGGGGAAGTTGGATACATCAAGATAATGGAGCTGTGCAAGGGTTTCCTTCCTTCTCTGCTTCCTCCCTCCCTCCTTCCCGCTTTCCCCTGACCGCAGAAACATTCCAGAAATATTGCCGAGAACACACACACACTCCTTATCTTGATTCACAAGTTGGTATTGTTTATTACAGATGCTCTTTCTTCCCCTCTCTCTGTCTCTTTTAGCTGAACTATTGGAGAGGAAGCTGTAGACCCCTGGCAGTCCCTGCTGAACATATTAGCTGCCCCTCCTGAACAGAAAGACATTCTCCCGTATAGCCTGATACCATTATCACACTAAGAAAATTACCAGCAGTTCCTTAATGTCATCGACTACGCAGGCCACATTCAAATCCCACGGTTGTCCCCGGCATGGTTGCAGTGCTCTTTCATAAACCTGAACCCACCAAGGCTCCCACGCTGCCTTTAACTGTTGTGTGTCTTGGGCTTCTTTCCATTGGAAAACAGCCCGCTACAGCCTCCCTCTTTTTAAAAACTGACATCCCAGCCTGGCCAACATGGTGAAACCCCATCTTTACTAAAAACACAAAAATTAGCCAGGTGTGGAGGTGCATGCCTGTAGTTCCAGCTACTTGGGAGGCTGAAGCAGGAGAATCACTTAAACCCAGGAGATAGAGGTTGCAGTGAACCGAGACCAAGCCACTGCACTCCAACCTGGGCAACAAAGTGAGACCCCGTCTCAAAAAAAAAAAAATGACATCAACATTTAAAGCGACCAGGCCAATTGTCCTGTAGAATGTCTCTCCTAGATTTGTCAGATTTCCTCCCCGCATGATGTCTTTTTTTTTTTTTTTTTTGTGAGGCGGAGTCTTGCTCTGTCACCTAGGCTGGAATGCAGTGGCACGATCTCGGCTCACTGCAACATCCACCTCCCAGGTTCGAGTAATTCTCTTGCCTCAGCCTCCTGAGTAACTGGGATTACAGGTGCACGCCACCATGCCTGGCTAATTTATGGATTTTTCGTAGAGACAGGGTTTCACCATGTTGGTCAGGCTGGTCTTGAACTCCTGACTTCGTGATCCACCCGCCTCAGCCTCCCAAAGTGCTGGGATTACAGGCGTGAGCCACCGCACCCAGCCTCATTTTTTTTTGTTTTTGAGACAGCGTCTCACTCTTTCACCCAGGCTGGAGGGCAGTGGTGCAACCAGCCTCAACCTCCTGGGCTCAAGTGATCCTCCCACCTCAGCTTCCTGAGTAGCTGAGACTACAGGTGTACACCACCGCATCTGGCTAAATTTTTTTTTTATCTTGCAGAGACAGAGGTGTTGCTGCATTACCCAGGCTGGTCTCTAACTCCTGGGGTCAAGCACTTCTCCCGCCTCAGCCTCCCAAAGCACTGGGATTACAGGCTTGAGGCACCACACCTGGCTTTGATGTCTTTTCTCTTGTTCTTGGACCTAGAGGTATTTCCTGTAAATTGAACATTAGCACCGAAGGCTTAATTGGATTCAGATGAAACTTTTTGGGCATGAGTTCTTCACAGCTGTGGGTCCTTCCTGTTGCAGGAAGGTGTGACATCAGGTCGCCCTGCTGTCATGACTCTAGAATAGCTTCTTGGCTGAGGTGGTGGCTGCCAGAGTCCCTGTCATGGAGGTGTGTTTTTCTCTGTATTTTTTTTGAGACAGAGTCTCTGTTGCCCAGGTTGGTGTGCAGTGGCACGATCTCGGCTCACCACAACCTGCTTCTCCTGGGTCCAAGTGATTCTCCTGCCTCAGCCTCCCGAGTAGCTGGGATTGGTGCACCACCATGCCTGGCTAATTTTTGTATTTTTAGTAGAGATGTGGTTTCACCATGTTGGCCAGGCTGGTCTTGAAATCCTGACCTCAGGCAATCGGCCTGCCTCGGCCTACCAAAGTGCTGGGATTACAGGCGTGAGCCACCATGCCTGGCCTAAGCCACTGCGCCGGGCCATGCTTTTCCCTTTGAGCAGCCCTGGGTTTTGGTGAGCGTCGTCCTGTTCTCCATCATCTTTCACCTGCGGCTGCATCATCCACCCGCCATCTTGGCCTGAAACACTTCCTGAAAATCAGCTGAACATATATGTGGTCTATTCGAGACTTTCTGTCCTCTTCCCCTGACCTGTATGTCTCTCTGTGCCAACCCCACACTGTCTTGATTAGTGTAGCTTTATAATAGGTCTCAAGATCAGAACTTCTTCCAACTTTCTTCTTTTTTGAAATTGTTTTTGCCATTCTGGGCCCTTTTTAGTTTCAAATACATTTTGGAAACAGTTTATTAATTTCTGTGAAAAAGCCTGCTGGGATTTTGGTTGGGATTGTGTTTGAATCTATAGATGGATTTGAAAAGAATTAATGTCGTAACAATATTGTGTCTTTTAATCCAGGAGTGTGATATATTTCCCCGTATCCTTAGGTCCCTTTACTTTTTTCCAACAATGTTTTGTAGTTTTATGTGTAGAGATTAGGCACCTCTTTTGTTCTCTCTCTGAGTATTTTGTAATTATTGGTGCTATTGTAATTATCTGATGGGTTCTTCCTGCCCGCTACACGGAAAAACCAATTCACTGAGACCGCAGGATTGCAGTAAAGAAACAGTTTCATTGATTCAAGGCCAACCCACACAGGAGAACGGGAGTTATTACTCAAATCAGTCTCCTTGAAAATTCAGAGGCTAGGCTTTTTCAAGGATATTTTGGCAGGCAGAGGGCTAGGGAATGGATGCTGTTGATTGGTTGAGGATGCAATCACAGGGCTGTAGAAAATGATCCTTGGCCAGGCGCCGTGGCTCACGCCTGTAACCCCATAACTTTGGGAGGCCGAGGCGGGTAGATCACGAGATCAGAAGTTCGAGACCATCCTGGCCAACATGGTGAAACCCCGTCTCTACTAAAAACACAAAAATTAGCCAGGCATGGTGGCATGAACCTGTTGTCCCCGTTACTCAGGAGGCTGAGGCAGAAGAATTTCCTGAACTGGGGAGGTGGAGGATACAGTGAGCCGAGATCGTGCCACTGCACTCCAGCCTTGGCAACAGAGCGAGACTCCATCTCAAAAGATAAAAAATAAAATTCTCCTTGTCTACTGAGTCCACTTCTGGATGGGGACTACAGGACTAGAGTCATGAGTCTTGGGTGCAGGTGGAGTCATCTGCCAGGAATTGCCAAAGGCCAATCTTTGATTCTTTTTTTTTCTTTTTGAGACAGTGCCTCACTCTGTCGCCCAGGCTGGAGTGCAGTGATGCCATCTCGGCTCATTGCACCTTCTATCTCCTGGGTTCAAGCAATCCTCCTGCCTCAGCCTCCTGAGTAGCTAGGATTACAGATGCCTGCCACCATGCCTGGCTAATTTTTGTATTTTTAGTAGAAACCGGGTTTTACCATGATGTCCAGGCTGGTCTTAACTCCTGACCTCAGGTGATCCACCCACTTTGGCCTCCCAAAGTGCTGGGATTGCAGGCCTGAGCCACTATGCTCAGCCTAATCTTGGGTTCTACAGTAGTGATGTTATCTGTGGGAGTAACTGGGGAAGATGCAAATCTTGTGACCTCCGGAACAATGGCTGGTCACTACGCCTAGGTCTTTGCAGAATTCAGACCCCTCTCATGAATCCTCACCTTGTAGCCTTTTATTAGTTTTATAAAGATGATTTAGTTTTGGGAAGGGATATTATCATTTAAACTATAAACTAAACTTCTTCCAAAGTTAGCTTGGCCCATGCCCAGGAACGACCAAAGGCAGTTTGGAAGTTAAAGGCAAGATGGAGTTGGTCAGATCAAATCTCTTTCACTGTCATAATTTTTTCACTGTTATAATTTCGGCAAAGGCAGTTTCACTGTTGCTGATGGATTTTTAAGTTTTAATTTTCAGTTCGTTCTTTGCTGGCATATGGAAATAGAATTGATTTTTGTATATTAAGTTTTTTCAAAACTTTGCTAATTTTGTTTATTGGTTCTAGTAGTTCCTTTGTAGATTCCTTAGGATTTTTATTTAGATGATCATGTAGTTTGCAAGGAATTTTTTTTTTTTTTGAGACAGATTCTTGCTCTATCAGCCAGGCTGGAGTGCAATGTCATGATCTTGGCTCACTGCAACCTCCACCTCCTGGTTCAAGCGATTCTCCTGCCTCAGCCTCCCAAATAGCTGGGATTACAGGTGCATGCCACCATGCCTGGCTAATTTTTGTATTTTTAGTAGAGATGGGGTTTCACCATGTTGATCAGGC